CGTGTGTGTGTGTGTGTGTGTGTGTGTGTGTGTGTGTGTGTGTGTGTGTGTGTGTGTGTGTGTGTGTGTGTGTGTGTGTGTGTGTGTGTGTGTGTGTGTGTGTGTGTGTGTGTGTGTGTATCTAAACCTCTCATAACTTTTGAACGGTTTGACTGATTTGATCGCGGTTGGTGCCATTTGAAAGGGGTCGACTAAACTTAGATTTTGAATACAAGTTGGACCGATTCGGACTGATAGATTTCGAGGAATCTCAAAAAAACTGCGAAAAAAAATTTTTCCAAATGCGATTTTTTTTGAATAACTTTCAAACGGCTTGACCGATCAACTTCAAAAACTAATCAGCTTCTAACATCGGAAAACCACGTCGATTGCCACCAAGCTGGTCAAAATCGGTTGAATCGTTCGTGAGTTATCGTTGACAAAAGATATCGAAAAAAGTAATTTTTTCAAAATTTACCGAAATTTCCGGTCTGATCAATTCGGGTTTAAAAATATATTATAGAATTCAAGAAAATGCGTCGATTGCCGCTAACTTTGTGAAAATCGGTACATTCATTCAAAAGTTATTGCGGTTTGAAAATTCAAAAAATAGTGTTTTATTACACTTTTATCAGACTTTTGAGCTCAGAGAGCTCAAAACTACACGAAAATTATATTTTTAAGCTTGAAGAGCTCAAAAACGTAATGATAGCAGTTTTGAGCGCTTAATTACGAAAGTAGCAGGAAGTTGCAGGGATGGCCTTCAGGGTCAACCGTTTTCCTAATTTTTAACTTCCCGCTAAGAAAATTGAAAATTTTCAAAAATCAGGAAGTTATTGTTTCTACCCCGTTTTTCGAAAATCGAGTTTTCATCAGATCTCGACGTTTTGAGGTCCTAGGAAGCTTCCCTGGCGGTTTCGGCAACACGGTGAAAGCACAGTCGATTGACGGTTGTTTCACGGTCGTTTCACAGTCGTTTCACCGTATAAAGTCCGTTGTTACCGAGCGAGTTGTCAGTCTACATCGGATACAGTTGTGAACGATATTCACTGTGAATTAACAGAATATATACGGTGCAAACGCAAGTGAATCTACGATGTTATGACCGTCACAGTACGCTCAATGTACTGTCGAAATACGGTGATTTTACGCTACTGTCACGGACAATAAAATAAAAAAAAATACTTCGAACAGTCTAGACCGGGACTTGAACCCAGTTCATCTGGTCGCGCGTCCGAATCTTTACCAGTTAGGCTATCTGCGACGTTGCACGTAAGATCGATTCAGTGACATGATAAGGTGTCAAAACCAAGTCATTTTTTTTATCGTACAGATAAAAATAGCTTAAATAAAGTTATATTTTTTCTTGATAACAAATAATTTTTCCGTAATTTCGAAATTAAAGTTTTCGTCTAAAAAAAAAAAAACTCAAATCTTTCATAAAGAATTCAAATTTTGGAATTACGGTGAAAATATTTGACGTGCAGAAAATATGTTTATAGTTAAGTTGAAATTAAATTATAATTTATTAATTAATTGTTGAATAAAATATCTTCCGATTAAAAAAAAAAAAAAAAAAATATTGATTATTACATTTTTCACAATCAAAAAGTATTATAGTTTCTCATTTAAAACTATGAAAAAAAATTTAACACTTGTAAGCCATAAACTCTTCTGAAAAGTATTGAAATGATGGATCTCTGTTGATTGCCTATAGTCTGATTAATTTTTTATGATTTTACTTTGAAATAAACAAAATTACAATAATTTAATATTTTTTTCAAATTTTTTATCCCAATTATTTATTGAAAATTTCTCATTTACCTATCTTTTTATACACTTTGAGTATTTTTAATGAAATAAAATAAAATATAATATTGTCAGCACTTTTTCATCGTTGACTAGTAAAACATTCCTGACTTACCGACATTATACGCTCGTTTGACGGTCGTTTCACCTATAAACTACCGTGCAATGACAGACGATCGATCGATGATCTACGATTTTTACTTAGGTAAAAAATCGGAGAAGTTCTTAACCTTAAAAAACCACGTTGATCACCGTTGGACCGGTCAAAATCGGTTGATTCGTTCGTGAGATATCGTAAACAAAAAATTTCAAAAAAAATATTTTTTCAAAAAATCTCTTAAATGGCTTCACCGATCACTTCCAAAATCTAATCAGCTCAACCTTGAAAAACAACGTCGATTGCCACCAATCCCATCAAAATCAGTTAATTCGTTCGAGAGTTATCAAAAACGAAAAATTTCGAAAAAAGTGCTTTTTTCACATAACTTCGACATTTCTTTTCGGATCGTTTTTGACGAAATAAAATAATTATTAGAGCCCAAAAAATCACGTCGATCGCCACGTCGATTTTCGGTTCGATCGGTTTGTGTTCAAAAGTCTATCATAGATTCTGAAAAAGTGCGTGAATTACTGACAACCGCGTGAAAATCGATTCATTTATTTAGAAATGATTGTAGTTTGAAAATTCAAAAAATACTGTTGTATTAAACTTCTATCAGGCTTTAGAGCTCGAAGAGCTCTAAAGCATACAAGAGGTAATTCTTTGAGCTCGGAGAGCTCAAAATAACACACAAATTGTATTTTGAGCTCGAAGAGCTCAGAAACGTAACGTGGGTCATTCCATGTCAAATCGACCAATAGTTGGAATCGACCCCTTTCGATTTGGATGAATTTTGCTAAGAAGTTTTCTTTTATCATAAAACGAAGTTCTGCCAAACGAAAAAAAATAAAAAAATTTTCTTTGAAAGATATGCAAATTCAAAATTTCGTGATTTTTCCAGTTTTTCAATTTTGTTTTTGCAATATCTCGAATGCTATTATAGATACATGAATGGGCTTTCGTTTGTTTAAAAGGGTCAAAAATGAAGACCGCCATTAAAATTTTGGCTCAATTTTTTTTGTATGATACCTTGTAATGATCTTAAAAGATCCTCAAATTTTTGGATAGGGGTTTTTTTTCAAAAATATGAATTTTTGAATTTCAAAAAAACCTTTTTGAATTTCAGAAAAAAATTTATTTATGTTTTTTGCAACTTCTATACAAGTTAAAGTTATGCAGATACATAATATTGTAATTTTGAGTACTTAAAAATCAAATGCAGGACGTGAAAATATTAAATAATAAATTAATTTCAACTTTTATTCATTTTTTAGAGATAATCTAAAAGTCAAGCTTAACACATGATATAATTTTTTATTTTCTTAACGCATGATATATTTTGTCTGTTTTTTCACTTCAATTACAGTTTTTAACTTCAAATAAGTCAAACAGATATTAATTTTCTATAAAATTAGAAATGATTTCATGAGAATATCAATTTTTTTTGTTCTTTCGAATACTTATTTACTTACGAATTTCGGCACATACATAGTTGTCAATCTCAAATTATAAATTATTCCCATGTTAATAAGACGACAAGTGGCATTAACTTTAAATGAAGTAAATAAAGGACTATTAACAAATTCTATCATGCGTTAAGAATGACTTATTTTAAGGATGCAAGATCGTGTCTAAAAATTGAGTAAAAGTTAATATTAATTTATTATTCAATATTTTTACGTCTTGCATTCGATTTCTAAATACTCAAAATCACAATATTATGTATCTGCATAACTTTAACTTGTATAGAAGTTGCAAAAAACAAAATAAATTATAACTGTGTTTTAATCTAAACAATCACACCATAGTATCAAATATTGTAACCAATAGTTCAGTAATTTATGACGAAAAAAACAATCACTAACCTTGATGAAGCTCAAAGTTACTGCAGAAGGATATTAATGAAAAAACGATAATAACTAAAATCAGTTTGTAATATTGTGGATTTGTTTTCATTTTCAAAACAATAAAGTCTTTGACAGGTGGTTACAGCTGATGCTGCTTACACTTATATCTATAAGACTAGTACGTTTTCTATCACGTCATCCGTGGAACCGTTGAGACTGCGCGTTTCTATAGTACACAACAGTAATCGATAAAAAGGACATAAGTACCGATTATATTAAATACTTGAAACAAAACTGTATGGGCATTAGACTGTGTCAAAATAAGTTTTAATTTTTTTTTTTTTTCGATTAAGCGTATCTTAAAAGTTTCTTCAATCTATAAAACACACATAAATATTATATTAATAAGTTAATAAAACATATAAAATAATATTGCTCATTAAATTTTAAAAGAATATATATATGCTTGTACATTAAATATATTTTTTTAAACTAATAGTTTACAGTCAAACTTTCAGTAGAACTTACAAATAAGTATTATAGTAAAGAAATAAAAACATAAAATTGTATTGCTCATAAAATTTTAAATAATATATATATGTTTGTACGTTATATATATTTTTTTCAACTAATATTTTTTTAGTTAGTTTCTGTAAAACACACATAAATATTATATTAATAACTTTAATAGAAAATATAAAATTATAATGCTCATAGAATTTTAAAAAATATATATATGTTTGTACATTATATATATTTTTTTAAACTAATATTTTTCAGGCAAAATTTCAGTACAACTCACAAAACAATTTAATAGCAACGAAATAAAAAACATAAAATAATATTCCTCGTTTTAAGTAACATATATTCTAAATTTATATATATTCTGAATTTTAAGTAACATATATATAATATATATGTTTAAACATTATATATTTTTTTTTTAATTATGTAATATTTTTTAGTTAAGCTCAGTAGAACTCTCATACATTATCATTAATTTTTAAAACGATATATTCTAGTCCGAATCATTTTCGAAAACATCGTCTGTACCTTTCTTACGACTATCAATATTAAAATTTGAAAGACTAGTATACAAAGAACATACCATACTTATTGATTCGACATTCATGTTAAAGATGAAGTAATCAATAAAATTATAAAAATTTTTCAAAGTTTCCGGGTACTCTCCGTTAAGTACATAGTACGTTTTGTATAAGAGATCAAAAGTAGTGATGGGTTGACTTTCGGGATGAACACTGATAAACCATCCATCTCCTTGCACAAATGTCTTATCTACCGACTGACCTGACTGAGTTATCAGATACGGTTGTACATTAGACTTTTCTTTAGTTGCTACGGATCTCGCAAAATCTTTAATGCTTGTTCCATCCTAAAAAAGAAAAAGAAGTTATTAAATATTATTTCCAAAATGATTTAATTTTACTATTAGCAAATAACTTACAGGCACAATCCTTAATGAAAATTCATTAGGGAAAACATTCTTTTTTACAAGGGATTCATCATCTTCCATTTCATCCAATTTCTAATTATAAACATAATATCGAAGTATAAAATTTATTCATAAATTCAAATTAAATGAATTTCATCATAAATTAAAAAATTGTTGACGCTTACTCTTTTTTTTCCTTTTTGATTCTTTTTTCCTTTTGAGCCAATTTTTTTTTGCTGTTCTGCCTTTTTTTTACGATCAGCTTTATTTATTTTCGACATGGCAGCATTAGATATTGGCAGTAGTTCAACCAGAACTAATAATGCCCGTAAATTTCCTTACGTAACGAAAACATTCAAAATTAAATAGTAAATATTATGAAAATTTGCATTTATTGTTAGTAAAATTGAGACAAAAATAATTTTTCAAATTTAGAAGATTCAATAGAAGCAATTATTTCAATTGAGCCTGGGAAACTTCAAATAATATAAATTTGATAGAGATATTTAAATATCATGGAAACATGTACAATAACCTCATAACAACAAACAACATTGACATTAATTTAATATCAATTTTTAAATGGAAAATTACTTACTATCTTTGATAGAAGATGATTTTGAAAATAAATCAGCCCGATTTTTTTCAACATAATATAAAATTTTTTCCATGTATGATGTTGGAAATAAAGAAATAAAATTATCAGCAACTTTTGGATACATTGCTTGGAATTCCCGCTCAATCTAATAACAAATATAATTATAAGTTTAAGAACATAGAATAACTAACATAATAATAATTAGTAAGTCATACTAGTTCCCCATTGTAATCAAGCAGACGTGGATACTCTTCGAAGATTTCTGTAATCGTTGGATGTTTCGTGTTAATCCAGTAACGTCTAAATTCTCTGGTTTCATCCATCAATGAAACAATAAGAGACTTATTCGTATCGTTTGGATTTTTTAATTTTAAAGTAGATACCTATAAAAATAAGAGCAATTATAATTTACAGTATATCAATAATTTCAAATAGCAAAAAATATTAAATGATTATACTTTTTGATCCATATCTGCTCGGTTAAAATTTTCTAAATCAGAATTTAGAGGTTTAGGCAGACCTTTAGGAGTTTTTTTTTCCACTGATTTCGTATATTTTTTTTCATGTGGTTTTAATTTAGACCTTAAAGTCATTAAACGCCATTCAATAAACCCTTTTTGACCATCCGAAGAAAAGTAATGTTCCTGATGGTTCATAGATATTAATCGCTACCATTAAATGTAAACATAATATTAATAATATATTAATAATTACCCAGCCGTTTTCCGAAACATTGTTTTTAAGTCTCGGGAACTCCGTTACTAAAGCTTGAGCTAAAGCGCGTTTGGCTTGAGTGGGTGGATAACTAAATTTAAAAATATTAAAAATTATTCTTATCGAAATAATTTTTTTTTCAATTATTGATGTTTACATAAAGAGTATTTTTTTTTAATTATGGAATCATCAATTCAATAGTAAGTTATTTGATTTCTATAAACATCGTGAAGAGCTAACGATACATACCAACCCTTGTGAACATTTACAAGATCTGCGACGACAATCCTCACTAAGCATTGGCGGTCATTTTCACTGAATATTTGCGTGTCATCATCCAAAATTTTTAATAATTTTTGTCCTTGTTTGGTACTATCTTTGGAAAGTGTTTCTCGAATGGTAGAATTATTCTGAAATATTAATAATCAAAATTGTAAAATTGAAGCAAATTGAATTTAAGAAGGTGAAACATTTATTGCTAATGTCTATAAAAAATTAAATAATTATACCGAAAATTTTGTAGAATCAATTACTGTAGTATTAGAAGTACTAGGTTCAGGCTGAAGTAACAGTTTTACTCCAATTGATGAATTATTATTGCTTGAAGAAGGAGGTTGAATAATCGAATCATTCACAGTAGAGCTTGCCGTCATAATGGAACTCAAAACTTTTAATATTAATTTTTGAGGACCTATTTTGATGCCCATAATTTGAAGGTCTTCTTTCGTTAACTCGATGAATGCGTTACCATTGATCCGTTGAGCTTAGTATAAATAAAAAAAATTATTAATCCTATACATAAAATAGAAATTTTAGACTGGATATTTATATATATATATATATATATATATATATATATATATTTATCAGTTATAATATTTACGTATAATTTTAGAGTTTCAAGATGAAGTAGAAGATTTATTTCACTTTAATCCAAGAGAGAAAAAAGCTTTTTACTTGTTATAATATATAATGACGTAGACTTAAGTAAAGAGCATCACATTCAGCTTTATTCCAGCACGAAAATGGCTTATAGTGAGCTAAGTTGAGCACATTGATGAATGATTGAGTTTTAATATCTTCATTGCATTCTATGTGGTATGCATGTAGAGATGTGTCAAACGAGCATGTTGTACAAATCGATAATAATAAATATACATCCGTATTATTCAGTACAATAATTTCATCGATAACTCCAAATAGTGGTAAATTATCAGGACGAAGTCGAGCAGATTCAAGGCATGTATACAAACCCAAGCGAAATTCAACACTATTCACCTTTATGGAATTACTACGAAATACTTGGTTATGATTGTCATAATTAAGATCAATTAAGAACTTTTGACTCAAAGTTTCCTGGACTAAGACATATTTTCCGGATGATTTAAGTACTTGAAACATTTCCACGTTTTTTCCACCCCACTTTGCACTTTGGCCACATTGAAAGACTCTTATTAATGTTTTCGGTGGATTTTTAAAATTATGTACTACTTCAGCTCGAACTTGGGCACCATGATGCTTGGCTTCATAACGCATACACCAATAATTGGCTTGAGGACCGGACCAAAGTATGCATTTAGGGTAATGTGAAATATGATGAAATTTATTGATTTCGTTTACATCAGGAAATAAAGTTTTAAAGCTTGAGCGAAATTCTCTGATTAGAGCGTCTAAATATGGAATAAGTGAATGTGTAATTTTTGGAGCAAAAACTAATTCCATTATTTGTAATAAATTGATAACAAGTATCATATGTTCATCATCACTGTCAATGACATCGGACAGAAGAAAAGGAATCGCTCGTATTAAGCTCCAAATTTGCATCGCCTTTTGACTAAGTGTGTGTTCTTTTCGCCGCAATATACTGACAGTGAAATTTGCCGATGGTTTATTTTTCATTTCACAGTAACCCCATTGAAAAGAAGATATTCTATTGTTGAAGTTCTCAACACTCAACTTCTGTTTATCGACAATATAGTGTTTCAAAACTAATTTTATTATCATAGGGCAGATGCCACAAAGAAAATCGTGCATTGGATCAAAAATCTTATTTCGTGAAATATGAAAATATTTAGAATCATTTAGGCAGCAACTCCCACGAACACCTGTTAGTGTTTTTGTTTCGTCAGAAAAGTTTGATTCTTTCAAAACATTCAAATGATAATCAAACAATTCTTTGGATCGCTCTGGACCAAACTCAAGAGAACCCGTATGTAAATCGGTTCGAGAATACATGCATAAGCGACAGAATTGATTAGCAGAAGGTCCTAGAAGATTGAAGACGTCGTGGACTGCAAGACCATCATCAAAAAAAGCAGCAATAGTTGCACGAAGTATAAAATTGCCATTTTCCATCTCTACCAATACCCCATCATCTTTTTCTAAGAGAGCAAGATCATTTAAGAAAGGTTGAAGTACTTTTTTAAACCCATATTTCTTTACATCTGCATCAGCGCACAATAAAAGAACATGTATAGAATTGAGGTCTGAGTTCATGTGTGATGGTAAATTTTGAATCGTATAGTAAAAAGCACCCAGTTTATGAACACCTGTCTTCGATCCAAGCGGATTGACAATCTCTAGTTCATCATAATAGAGTTGTAGTCTGAGAGCATGTGGATATCGCAATAAAAATGCATGATTTTGAGCATGTTGACCATCAAGAAACGAACTCAGTATGCCATCTGGAGATTTTTCTTCTGTCAAAATTGCTTCCAATACATTTGGATTCGAAATGACCAATTTTAAAGTGTCAATAACAGGAACATATTGACAAGTTTCCATCACCAAGTCCGGTATATATGTACCCGAAGCTCGATCAAGTTTTTGATCGATTCTATAACCAAGTGGAATATCAATTGGATAGATATATCCACTGTGAGCTGCCAGAGCCGCGATTTGTTGATCCAGAGTTTTTAAATCAGTAAAAACTTCATTGAAGTTAAAAGCTCTTAGAACGTCTTTAGCTCGATCATTATTAATTAAACCTTCGTCGATCAAAAAATCTTCCACTTTATGTTTTAAAAACTCGCTTGCACTTATCAATAATTGTTCGCACTCTTCTATAATGTCATTTAAGGTTTTTGCAGTCATGGAAGGCCTGCATTGAAACCGTGCAATCATTTGGATGATATAAACACGAATATTAAAGTCGTTATTATTATTATTATTATTATTATTATTATTATTATTATTATTATTATTATTATTATTATTATTATTATTATTATTATTATCACCATCATTATTATCATCACCATCATTATTATTATTATGATTATTGTCATCATCATCATAATTATTATGATTATTATCATCATAATTATTATTACTATCATCATCATCATTAACTTCTATATTTTCGTGTCTTGTATTATCCCGATTCCGAAGATGAATTTTATTAATATGTTTACGAAGAGAATAAAAATTTAAAAATCGACAATGACAGCCATTCTGGCAACATTCAAATCCTCTAGCAGCCCCGCGGCTTAACGTAAGTCCGTGTACTTTTATTAAATGATCCTTTAAATCATTCACTTCATCCCCAACTTCTTGACGACACACAAAACAAATTATTTGTTCCATAATAGTTGAAAATTTATAACTCAGTGAAATAGTACTTCACACAACAATGATGAAAATTCCAACATTAAATATTACTCACTTCTCAAAATTGTGATGGTCTCTTCGTCATCTGCTAAGTCACCCAGCTTTGCAATCAATTGATCGACCGTTAGGTTTTTAAAACCCTCCATGTTGTACGTAAATTCTGTAATTTATATAAATGTTATTATTTATCTATATGAGAATCAAATATTAATTTACTATTTAATTGCCAATTATTTATGAATTTCAGTATAAAATCATTTTATAGTTTGAAAGAAAAATTATTTTCTTACCTTAAAATTCAATGAATAGTTTGAGGAGCAGCATTCAAATTCAAATGACTTGTTATACTTAATAGACAGAATAATTCTAGACGTGCTGTTGACAATAATAAAAAAAAAAATTAATTGAAGCTATTTTTTATTGCATAAAAACATTTATGCATAAAAACATTTTTATTGCATAAAAACATTTATAAACAATACAATGGCAATGGTTTGTAATGATGATAATAGATAGTATAAAAATATATAAACAGCTCTTGAATTTACTATTCATACGAATAAAAAAAAAAGAAAATTATTGTTTTTTTTTAATACAAGGAAATTAATGTTTAATTAAAAATTTTATAAATGAATTTGAAACGAACAATACATGATTTAAACAATTGACACTCAATAATTTAGAGAAATTAAACTTAGATTCATGTTGACAGATATTTTTAGGTTATTACAAGGAACTAGTATAGTAGATTAATATTAAAGTTATTTATTTTTTAATAACTTTTATTTTGGAGCAAAATCAAAATTTTTTAAATTTATAAATAAATAAATATGAAATCCAAATCACTTACCTGTAAACAAATGATAACTTGAGTCTTCGACAGGTTCACCCAAGCAAAACTGCGCTCGAAAAACAATGCAGAATATGGCGCTCTCAGTGACGCGGTAAAATGACGAAACCACTTTTCACTGATCTTGAAGTGAATTGACTCTTGAATCACTATTTAGACAAGTGAGAAAAAAAGTCATTGATTATGATTGTATTTTAAATAAATAAATGTTTAATTAAAAATTTTATAAATAAATTTTAAACTAACAATCAATCATTTTCATATTTGCCACTCAATTGATAATTTAAAGAAATTAAACTTAGATTCATGTTGATAGATATTTTTAGATTATGACGAGGAACTGGTATAGTAAATTATTATTAAAGTTATTTATTTATAGATAACTTTTATTTCAGAGTAAAATAAAAATTTATTTTTAATTTATAAATAAATAAATATGAAATCCAAATTAAGTACTTACCTGTGGGCAGATGATAACTTGAATGTTCGACAAGCTTATGCAAGCAAAACTGCGCTCGAAAAATGATATCGAATGGCGGTCTTAGTGACGCGGTAAAAAGGCGAAATCACTTTTCACTACTCTTGGAGTGGATTGACTCTTGAGTCATTAATCAGACAAGTGAAAAAAAATTCCATGTTTGTTATTTTTATAATCGATGAATATCCATAAAAATTTTATAAATAATTGAAAAATATAAAATCAATAATTTACATGCTTCTTGTACAGTAGATAAATATATAAAATTGAAATTAATAAAATATATTGACAAATGATCGAGGGTTCACGTAAAGTACTAACCAGACATTTAAATGGCGCTGATGTCGACGGCTAAGTTTTGAATTGGCAAAATTTACGATGCACTAATTTTAACAAATGTCAACATTACGTAAATATTTTATTTTAAAATTATTTTTATTCTAATGTCAAGATATGCATTTGTTTGTTTTTTTTTTATTTCAGTTTTTTTTAACGACTTTTTTTTTACTTAGCCGTATTTAAAAATATATTATTCTATTGTCAATTTTTAAAATTCGCTTGCTTTACTATCGAGTTTATTAACGTTTTTCTTTTTTTTGATTGGTTGAATTTTATTTTATGACATTTTAAGGTTGTTACAAGTTTACATTTTGCATCATTTTTATTAATTATTATTTAGTATTCTCTTTTTTAATGATCAACTCATTTTATAACCGGAGTCATTTTCAGTTTTAAAAGTTTTTAGTTTACAAACGTTCAAGTTTACAAAGGCTATGTTCTAGTAAATTTAAAAACATACTTAAATTAATGTCTACGATTGTATAATCATTTATGATTATATATAATTACTAGCTGACCCGGCACACGTTGTTTTGCCATCTGAATTATTCTAGAGTAAGAAAATATATCATATTTATTGTAAGTGTGTGCGTATGTGGGATATGAGTGGAAGATCTCTATAAAACGTAACATACTCATTCTTAGCACGATTTCTGAAATCAAGTTCTAAGATGAGCCAAATCTGTCGGTTAGTTATTAAATGAAAGCAATTCAACAATTTTCGATACTTGATAAAATTGTCACTTTTACCATATTTTCGTGCAATATACAGTAAAAATTTTGCATCAATGCGTCAAAAAATTTTGTGTTAAAAATTTTCATGTTAAATATTTAACACTTTTTTGTGTTAATTTAACACTCTTCTGTGTTAATTTAACTCAATAAATGGTAAATTTACACATAAAAGTGTTAAATATTAAACACACAAATTTTTAATACAAAATTTTTTGACGCAATAACGCAAAATTTTTTACTGTGTAACAATTAAATGCGATTTTATATTCAATATGGTATGCCAAAATGTAACTTACGTGAAGAACCTTTTAAAATTGGAATTTT